TATATATATATATATATATATATATATATATATATAAAGAACTACAATTATGCTTTTTATATACAAAAAGTACACAGAACATTATCCAATGAAAGTAATAAACGCAGCTGATAACCTATCAATGACCAAATCCCCTCAGGGAAAGCTAATGGAAGGACTGGTTTCTAAGAGAGCCGTTACAAAGTATAAATACCACAATAAAAAAAACCCAGTAAATAAATGAAATAGGGGGATTAATGTCCAACTGAAGCTGTTTTTTCCATTACCACAGCAAAGTACCAAAAATGTTCTCACATCTATTCCTCCACCAATCCTTGAACCATATTCATTCCGATCACCGAAGCCTCCCTGGTCTCTCTCTCTTAAGATGTCCATTACCATTTCACAGGCTTGCTGCAAAGAAAACTCAGCATTAATTTTTGGAATGATTTGAAACATGCCATAGAACATTTCACCTAAGAAACGTTAGAATTTCCAACGAAGAAAGCCTTTCTCTGAGTGTTATCAAGGAAGCTGAGCAATTCCAGATCACTGGTAGAGTAAAGCTGCAGATAATACTGGCAGAAGATTTGCTCTTCAAAGGCTCAGAACTGGAGGGTAAACTGTTCTCATTCCAGCTAAACTACATCTTAATGAAATGAAATTAAAAGAAAACAAGTTGTCATATATTGAGGAAGTAAAACAAAGATGTTTATGAACCAAATACCTTCTTCCTTCTTCAGTGCACTTTCTGGCTAGAGAGCTATAGGTTCCCAGTATATCTGAACGGAATAATCATACTTTTCTAAATCAAATATAATCGAAAACTCTAACTGGCAGGGTTGAATTGCAGCCTTTTAATAAAAAAAGGATAGTGATACAGGGAGCTACTGAAAATCCATCACAGTAAAAGGGAAAATTAAATTGCTCTCGACCCCACCCAAATGCAAAATGATGAAATCAATAAGCAAAACGAAGAGTCGGCCTTACCTGCACTTTGTATGGGTCCCCAATTATTCGAAGAGGCTTGTCTACATTTGTGTTTTGTGAACCGTCCTGAATTAGAATCATTTTCACTCCAGCCCGCTCCTACATTAACAAGAAATCAAAAGGGTTGCATAACCGTCAAAAATTCCGGTACGTTCTACCTCCTTATATGTAACTTAAACCAAGCCAATAGTAGAAGGGGAAGCAGAGGAGAAAATGATTTTGATGGTGATATGGATGATTGTAATACTTCACGCTCACCTGTAACTGTTTAATGGTCTCTCCTCCTTTGCCGATCACCAGGCCCGCTTTCCCGGCTGGGATCATGATTTCCTGGACTGTACCATTCTGCCCGTTGGCATTATCGTGGAACTGACCGGGTGGCCCACCACGCCCTCGAGACACAATATCGTCAAGCATCATCTTTGCCTTTCTACAAAGAGGAGAAAGAATCAACTCTGAATGAGGGCAAGTTACAAGATTCTCAAAATTTCCTCTCCGATGACAAAGATTTGAAATGGAATTCCCAGCAGTGCTTTCAAGCCTGAAAAAAATCTAGAAATCAGCACGTCCCATGTTTGTTCCACGGCTTCCTGCATAATGGTTAATAGAATTTATTTCCAGTTGCAAAACCAGTCGCTTTATTTTTGCAATCATTTGTATTTTTGAATTTGCATACTGCATTTATTTCAGTTTTATCTGGGCTTCTTTTGTAAGTACAGATGTGCTATAACTGCAATGTTCAATGAAGATTTTAGTCCCATGCTAGCCTAGCAAAACATTTGTGTTAAGTAAAATGCTTCTGTATATGCTAGACCAAAGTCAGCAGCCAGTTGTGCCTTTTAGGTATTGCATGCCCAAATTATTACTGTGTCTTTGTCCTGAAAGGCAACCATCTTAATTAAAAACCCAGCATCTCTTTACAAAACAAATCCCTGAATTGTTAAAAAAGCAAGGGGAAAAATAAAACTTGGTCAGTTCAAATAGAAGTTGGCATAATTCTCCCCCCCCCCCCCCAAACCTCCAACAGCATGAAACAAACCAAACTTTTGCAATAAAAGCGATGCCTCCAGAGGTGGGATTCAAATTATTTTATTACCCGTTCTGTGGGCGTGGCTTGGTGGGTGTGGCAGGGGAAGGATACTGTAAAAATCTCCATTCCCTCCACACTCCAGGGGAAGGTTACTGCA